CCTGGCCTTCCCCCCCCCCGGGGTGTGATGCATTAAGAGAAAGTGACTTGGGATTGACGAATCGGCCTCTGTTCATTGAGGAAAAAAAGCGACAAGGAAATTAACGTGTGTGATTTGCAAAGGGGGGGGGAGGAAGAGAACAACTCGCCCCAGCTGGGCTGGGAAAAGGGGCGCTTCTTTTTGAAAGGCAAAAAATTCCTCTCGTTTTGGCTGGCACTGGTTTATCATTTCTTCCTGGAGAAGAGAGGAAGAAGGGGGTCACCCAGCCGTACCCCCCAAATACACAACTCTTGCTGCGGATCTTCTCCTTAAAAAAAGTTTCAATGATTCTCGCTTGCAACCTGGACTTGAAGTGAGTGTTGGAACAGAGGAGCCGCTTCTGTTCTCATCTTCTCCTTTATTTCCTTTTGGCTTTGGGGTTGGATTTACTCGTCAACCGCAGGAAGAAGAAAATCGGGATGGGAGGGAGGGAGGGAGAGAGAGAGAAGGGGGGGTGTTGGAGGTTAGCGTAACGCCGCTTTCACGGTGAGAACCCTTTTCCTTTTTCGCAAAACAAGCTGCTTAATAAGGAAGGGTGGGAGAGGAGAGACTGTTCGCTGGGGAAATGCAGATTTAAAGCCTTTTATACAAGTCTTGCGGGAGCTCCTCGCTTCTGTTCCCAGACAGGGACAGAAAAGGGGGTGCTTTAGTGGATTGCTTTATTTTTTAAGGGCGATTGCTTAGGATGGGGGGGCTGTATGAAGTTTCTTAGGGGTGGGGAGCCGATCGCTTTCCCTTCTGGCTGTGCTTCCCTTTCCTCTTGCAGATGACTTTACAAGGGAGGGAACCCCTTCGCACCATCGCCATTGGGGGCTGGGGTGGTTTAAAAGGGCGGAAATCTGCCCTCAGGTTAAAGCTATTCTCGCAGGAGCTTTTGAGAGAGAGAGAGAGAGAGAGAGAGCGGCTCCCTGGCTTGTGCGTGCTTACAAGCAAAGGACGCGAGGTACCCGTTTCAGAAAAACGTGTCCCTGACGACTTGGGAATGCAGCAGCCTCTCTTGCTCCAAAGATCCTGTCAAGTGTAGGTTTTCAGGACATAAAACAGTGACCGGACGCGCGTCTTTTTCTTTCTTTCTTTCTTTCTTTCTTTCTTTCTTTCTTTCTTTCTTTCTTTCTTTCTTTCTTTCCTTGATTTTTAATTTTGCAAGTGTCAGTTTCTGCTGCAAAGCCCATCTCGCCCAGAACCACCGTCTTTTAAACTTGTATTAAATTGGAATGGTGGTGGGTTTATTTCATTTTTTTTTTCATTCCCTGGGTGCCATGCAGAAATCAGCGAACGCCTGGTGGAAATCTTGCGGGGGGGGGCTGTGTTGTTGTTTTTAATAGGGTCGAATTGCTCCAGAGTAACTCGTCCGGAGAACAGCACCTTTTGACATCTGCTCCCCCCCCCCTTTAAAAATGTTTCCTTGACATCTGCTCTCCCCCCCCCCTTTAAAAATGTTTCCTGCTTTAGATATAACTGGGGAGATTTCTTTCTAAAAACTTGCTTGATTTGATCCGCTTTAAATTAGCTGTTGGCTAGATTGAATCCAGCTCTCATGGAGTGGGGAGTGATAGTGCTGGGGGCGGGGGGTGCGCTATAAAGTTGTCTAGTAACGAGGGGGTGTTTTAAAAGCTAAAATCAAAATAGTATTTGATGTCTTTTTTTTTAAAGGCATTAAAATTGCCCCCCTTGCCCCAGTTTCTGGTTGCCTTCTAACCTGTCAAAGAGGTTTTGCACTGCAGGTAGGATAGGCTCGGCGTGCCTTATATAGATTTTTATCCGAATGATTTTAACAAGCGGGAGCACGTCTCCTGTTGCCACTGAATGGACTTTGGCATTTGGAGATCGGCCTGATTATGGGCTCCAAATGTCCCAACGAATCCTGAATCAGCGAGACAGAAAACTTTCCAAGTATTGGGGCGGGGGGGGGAGCGTTGTGCCCTCCGTCACTGAAATATTAGTAGAGAAAGAAGGGTGTGTGTTTCGGGGCGTTGTGTGTTGGAGTGGGAGAGAAACACGCCCGGTCGTGTGAGGGGTGCAGTTGTGGATCTGGGGAATGTACCCTTTTCTGGGCAGTAAAACTCAAGGGGTTGCTTGTTATGCCAAAAAAAAAGTTTCGAAAAAGTTCCGAGTGCTGCTTTGAGCTGGGGATTTGTTTGAAATTTACACAAAATGTGGAGGAAGGACTCTCGGTACCGGCGAGGGGAGGATTCCTGACAGGGATGATTTCTAAAGAGATTGTAGCTTGGTAAAGTTTGCAAAGACTTGAGTGCCGGGGATGATTCCCAGCGAAGAGTCTTGTGGCAGCTGCAAGTCTCCCCGTTTTTCTTGGGTAGGAGTTAACGGGAAAGGAAAGTGGGCTCGCGTCCATATGGAAGATTTCGGGTACAACTCTCCTGGCCTGGTGCTGCAACCGACCATCGCAGTCTCCCTAACCCTCCCCTAGTCCGGCAAGGTCTCCCCTGAGAAGAAACCTGGTTTGGTTTGGTTTTGTTTACCTGCCTCGGAGGTGCTCTGAAAGGAGCAGCGAGGTGGGACGCGGGCAGGAGCCTTTCCCTCACCTCCTCTTCCTGAGGGGACGGAGGGAGGCTCCTGATAAGGCCATCTGAGGAAAAAGCCCCATTCTCGCCTCTGCCCACCCGCCTCCTTTGCCACCAGGAGGTCTCCGGGGAGGTGATCCCTTGAACCCGCTCCGGGCAGCTGAGGGGGTGGAGAAAGGAGCAGGTCTCTGGAGGCCCCACCTGCTAGGAAGCAGCCGAATCTGAGGGAAGGAAGGAAAGAAGGAGGGCGGGATGCCCACTGGCAGGGAAAGAGGGAGGGAGGGACTCTGGAAGGAAGAGGCCAGGCGACTCTTCCAAAACGAGGCTTTATCCTGGGCAGCAGGACCCATTCAGAACTTGCAGCCTTTAAATGCCTCGATTTATAACCTTCCCCGTTAAGATGTTTTAAAAGCACAGGCTAAATTTACTGTCGGGCAAAGGACGGCACCGTGACTTTTCTCCAGGCCCTTTTGCAGCAGCTTCTGGAGGAGATGTGCTGTTCTTGTTGCCTTGACTCTTTTGGAAGGCAAAGCGGAGAACTCTCAAATTTCTGTTCACAGGCGAGCCCTGTGGAGTTCAACAGGGCTGAGTTGGACGGAGCTGGAGGTAGAATGGCAGGGATCTGAAATATGTTTATTCATGCATAAATCCTGCAGAGTCCTATGGGATGCCCAGCCTCATCCTCTGTTTATGCTTTCTCAGAACTAAATTCCACTGCATGCTGGGAAGCATGCCTGGGATTGTAGTGAAGTTCAGGCAATCTTTCGTAGCACCAAAGTTATAATTCAGATGTAAAATGTAGCAAACTAATTTGTGAAGAATCGGGATTTTTGGTTTTGCTTGCATGTTGACAGTTGTGTTGTTGTTTATACATGGTTTGTTTAACAGTTAACATACTTTTAGTATAGTTTAGTGCGGCATAAGGTGTTGTGTCAGGATATTTGCCTATTGTTAGCTTCTGCCGCTTTTTCTAGTAACGTCCAGGAAGTGAAAGGATCATCTCTAGGTGTTATTGGTACACAATAAAAGCACAGTGCTCAGCATTGTAATGTTCAGGTTCAGGTACTTAGAATTGCAAAGTGGTGCACAAATATAAAAGTTCTGAAGAGAGATGTTTTGTTTATTCAGTTGACCTTGGAAAGCTGCATGAGCTCATTTAAGGCTAACCTCAGAAATGTTATCACTTCTCGTTGTCTGCCCCGCCTCTTTTTGCCATGCATAGAAACTTTGCACAGCCTTTTTTTGTGAGGGAGGGGGCATCAGGCTTAAGTTAAGTGGGCAAATAGAAGGGCCTACCCAAATATTTGCTAGCTGGTGCCCTCTTGCTTGCAGGCATAGTTTAATTACACTGGTGCTATGTGAAGGGGAAAGGACCCACCCCTCACTGTGCCTTAGGCTTCAGTTCTGTGAGCATGGGAATAAATCCCAGTGAAGTTAGTGGCATCTCTCTCTCTCTCTCTCTCTCTCTCTCTCTCTCTCTCCCTCTCCCTCTCCCTCTCTCTCTCTGTGTGATTGTTACTAGAGCTGGGACGTGTGTATTTTAAAATCTTTGGTCTAGAAGCATTGGTCATGTGTTTGGAATAGAAATCCTAGGAGAGTCACGTTAGGCCTCTTTGTGCATTTACTCTTGTCGGTGTATGCATGAAAATATCATGTGTTCTTGGGATAAAAGAAGTATCTGCAGAGATTTAACACATAAACAATGTGCCAAGATCCCATTCTTTTTAGTGGCATGCCATGTTTGCAGATAAAGACCCTTAAAACGGGATCTCTGTGCAGTAGATGGGAATGCACCTAAGATAATTTCAATTTAAATTCAGTGACAAAGTATTGTAATGTATGTAGTACTAAGGCAATATTAAGGCATGGCAAAATCACCACTCTGCAACACCTGGAAATGTAAAACAAAAACAAACCCCCTAATTCCCCTTTTCTTTCCTGCAGGATTTCCGATGTGTTCTAAGCTTCCTGAAGTGATCACTCTTCAGTGTCCTGATGGAGACAAGAGCTCAGAATGGCAGCGGATCGCAGCCCTTGCTACAAAGTCATCATGACAGTGGGCGACAATATGGCGGCGAGTCTGACCTGAGGGATGTTCTGGCTCAGCAGGTTCATGTCCTGTCGTTAGACCAGATCAAGGCTATCCGGAACACAAATGAATACACGGAACCGCCTACCGTGGCTCCACGGCCTGGGGTAAAACCTGTGCCCCGTCCACAACTGCAACACAAAACGGAAAGGCCACCCGCATTGACTGAACAACAGCGTCATCTTACAAGGGCCCAGCATCCCCCAGTCCACGTCTCTTCCCGGGTACCCCTCTCCCGTTCTGTTAGCACAGTCAGCGCTGGCTCACGGGGCAGCACAAGGACAAGCACAAGTAGCAACTCCTCAGAACAGAGACTCTTGGGGCCAAGTTTGGGGACCGTTGTGGATGGAATAATTCGGGTGCAACCCAAGCCAGAGCTCAAGCCGAATGAGCTCAAGCCTCCGAGCAAAGAAGATTTGCGTATGCATGCCTACCGGTGTGAAGACTGTGGGAAATGTAAGTGTAAGGAGTGCACTTATCCGCGAACCCTTCCTTCCTGTTGGATCTGTGACAAGCAGTGCCTTTGCTCAGCCCAGAATGTGGTTGATTACGGGACTTGCGTCTGTTGCGTCAAGGGGCTGTTCTACCACTGCTCCAATGACGATGAGGACAACTGTGCTGACAACCCCTGCTCGTGCAGCCAGTCCCACTGCTGCACCCGGTGGTCCACGATGGGGCTGGTGTCCCTCGTTCTGCCTTGCCTGTGGTGTTACCTGCCTGCCAAGGGCTGCCTTAAGTTGTGCCAAGGCTGTTACGACCAGGTCAACAGGCCGGGCTGTCGCTGTAAACACTCCAATACGGTTTGCTGCAAAGTTCCCAGTGTCCCACCCAGGAACTTGGAGAAGCCAACATAGCATTGCTGATCCGAAATCTGCCAGAATAATAAGGATTCATCTTTAAAATCATATGCAGCCAACTGAATGAGCTATAATTGTGGCACTGTTTGTTAGAAGGATGGAAGATGGGGAGGGTATATTGAGGTTTGCAGTGACCTGCATTTTGTGTGTGTGTGTGTGTTTTGCATGAGCTGAGTTCATGGATATGTTTGTTAGAATCCATCCGAAGGAGATCAGAATGGGAATATATTCTGCAGGACCCAAATATTTCATAAGCTAACGCAACTCAGAAACTCCTAGGCAATCTGTGATGTTGTGTGTGTGTGTCTGTGTGTGCGTGGACACGTGTGTTTGGGTTTTTTTAATGAATAGTAAATTTGTAAATTAGAAAACTACTTCATTTCCCTCCCAGTTATTTTCTGCCAGAGATGTGGTATATATTTTTGTATATAGGATATTTTCAACTGTGAAAACACAAGTGCCATAGAATATATGGCACGGGTCACAAAATATTATACTAATATGTTGTACATTCAAAAGAATGTGAATCAATCAGTATGTTTAGATTGTATTTTGCCTTACAGAAGACCTTCAGTTGCAAAACTCCCTCTCCCCCGCCCCAGACTTCATGTATATTGTACAGTTACAGTAAATTTCAGCCTTTATTTTCTAATTTTTTTCAACATATTGTTTAGTGTAAAGAATATTTATTTGAAGTTTTATTATTTTATAAAAAAAGAAATATTTATTTTAAGAGGCATCTACAAAATTCACCCCTTTTTATGAGGATGCCACAAGTTGCTGCAATTAAGGGGTGGAAGATGCATATGTTCCCTATAAAATAGAAAATATATTAACGTTTGAAATTAAACTGGGCTGCTTGTCATTTTTCCCTACCCATTGATTCTTTGCATTGAAAAGTTTTTGAGGTAGTGGAGATTTTTCTGAATGTTAAACACCAACAGAAGTGGTGGAAAAAAGATGTTGAACAAACATGTTGAACTCTGATAACTGTTGTTTGATAAGATCTTTAAAATATTTTAAGAATGGGTTCATTTATGGACAGGATGCTATGGAGACGAGTATAAATGGAATTATCAGTATGTGAACATATTATAGGAAAAAAAGCTAAAATGTAAGCAGAAGAAGCCATGTGTCTGGTTTTTTCATACCTCTCATTTGCTTGTTGATGAATGTGCAGCATTATTTGGTCCCCTGCCCTCTTCTGAAGTTACCCACTGATGCAGAATGAGGTTGGAGAATTGCATGATGTCAGGGGCATGGGTTGCTGCCTTAGATATTAATGGAGGGAGAAGGCAGTGGGCAGTTGTATCGCTGAGATTTTAAGCGGCCATATACAGAATTCATTGCCTTCTGGCCTGTACTACTTGCTCATCAAACCCAGTTTATGGAGAAAGGCGAAAGAAGAGGCAGATACTGTAGTTTAAACTGTTAGTCCCAAGATTTATAAACAAATGTATGTGCTGGATGAGATTACACTCCCTTTGAAAGCACAGGTTCACAGTGTTGGGTCTGCTCCTGGATTCATCCTTGAGCCAGGGTGTAAAAGCTAGTGTGCCAGCTGGGCCTGGATAGGTCTGACCTGGCCATAGTGACACATGCCTGAGTGACGTCCTTTTTAGATTACTGTAATGCACTCTATGTGAGCTTGCCTTTGGAAAGTGTTTGGCAATCTCAATCTTGCTGCAGCCAAGATTGTCAAGTGGAGCTGGTTGTGGGGATCACATAACCTCCATGATGTGATCCCCTCTGGGACTGCTGATCTGTTTCCAAACACAAGTGAAAGTGACGTTTTTGGTGTATAAAGCCCTAAATGTCTTGGGTCCAAGCTGCTTGAAAGACTGCTTCTCCTTTTATGAGCCTGCCTATGTTCTAAAATAATCAGGGAAGCCATTCTCTCTGCCCCTGGTGAGGACGCAAGAGAGGGCCTTCTTTGCTGCTGCTCCCCAACTCTGGAATTCCCTCACAGGGGAGGCCAGGCTGGCCTCCTACTTGCTTTCCTTCTGCAGAGAGACACAACTTTTGCCTTCAGGCAGGCTTTTTCACAGTGATTGGCTGCCTAAGAGTTGGCCAGCTGTTTTGTTTTTTGTTGTTGTTTTTGTTTCATATTCTCCCTTTCCAGCTTTTATATTATTTATTTTTAATATTTTAAGCCACCTTGGGTTCACCTGAAGAGAAAGGCAAGACACCAATATTTTAAATAAATAATAAACAAATAAATTACATGTCACAGGCCATTAGAAATCTGAATGCCCTCCTGCCAGGTATGCCACACTTAGCTAACAGGGAGGTGAAAACAAAAATTTGTGTGATTGGTGCTATAATCTCCACAGAGTTTAGTATCCCTCTACTGCCTAGTTTCTCTCCAGAAGTCTAAAAAATGTTTGACCTCCCTGTATTGACCACAGACTGGTGTTTTGTTTCTTTGATTTTGGGTTTCTGTTGTTGGTTCAAAGACATGCTATTGTTCAGAGAGTGTAGACATGGTCTGGAGTCTATAGTTCTTCAGTACTGATGGCGAAGTGGATAGAGTTAAAAGGAAAGATAGATCTGTGACAAGCTTGTTGATGTATGTGTAGATTCAAAACTATCCAGCAGGCAATCATAGTAACTGTGAATCCTTTGCCACCTTGAGCAAAGTTACACAAAGACAGGAAAAATCAGGAAAAGGCTGCATGGTTGTGGAAACAACACAAATGTGGGAGCATTAATCAACCATTAAGAATATAGAATTTTTTAAAAATACCAAGCTTTTGATGATAAATCATCTTCAAGGCTGTGAAGAAAGGAATTATCTTGCTAGATCAGGTTATAGATTTGACCCTTCAGAATTCTGGTTCCACTGTGGTCTCACCATACCTCTGGACTAAATAATAGTTACATCCTATCAAGTAAATTTCAACCTACAACAACCCAATCCAGGGTTTTTCTCAGTATCAGTGGTTTATTCTTCATTTCTGGGGAGTGCTCCGGGACTGTGCAGCTTGCTCAAGGATATATAGGCTGGCTCTTTCTTCAGGGAGGCATATGGGGGAAACCAGACTTCCAACCTCTGAATCCACAGTGAGATGCCTGCTTATTTAGTTGGACCAAAGCTTTACATCATTACTTTTATTGGACTACATGTCCCAGGATACCAGATTTTAAAGGCTGCAATCCACAGAAGTAACATATTTCAGCACGGTTGTGGGCATTCACAGACAGCTCAGGTAGTTGTGGCCTTCCTGTTTGTGACTAGCATGTGGTATGCAGAGATTTCACTGCAATAGAGGGAGGTTCCCTTCTGTTGAAGGATTAACCTGTGGCATATTGAATGTTACTGCTGTTGCTTTGTTTTTCTTTCTACCTGTTACATCAGAAATTGTTAAGCAGTGTTTTGAAGGTGAGGTTGCTTTCTGCACTGGTATAGACACATTTGCTTGTATATGATGGTGTCTGCTTAACTTTCAGCCTACTTTAGATGTCATTAGGGGTGGGCTTTTTGTGTGTTTTGGGACTACAGTTCTTAGAAGTCCATTCCAGGAATTGGAAAGCACAGTCAAACCAGCACACGTGTAGGTTCCCCCCTCCTGTCCAAGAAAGGCTATTGCATGATTTACCTGGGCCACCAGCTCCTCTGGCTTTCCTGTTGCTTCTTGTTGATGATTTGGAAGAAGAGGAAGCTGCTACAGTGCTTCCTGGAAGTTATAGTCTCAATGGGAGGTGCCCTTTATAGAACCTAATGGGCAGCAAGACTATGACTTTCAGGAAGCGCCAGCACAATTTTCTTTTCTTTTTTTCTTTCCTCCTTTTTTACAAATCAACAACTGGAAGCAGCAGGGAACAGGAAGGCCAAGAGAGTCAATGATGCAGGCAAATGATGCAGAAGCCCTTCTCTGGATGATGGGGGAGCAGGGAGTGCAAACCTACAGGTGTGCTGGTTTAGGTTTGTGGGCTACAATTCCCAGAATTCCTGGAGAATTCTGGGAATTGGAGTCTTTAAAAACTTGAAAAGAACACATCCCTAGATATCATACATTCCCTGCATGGAATGTATGGAAAGCAGAAAAAGCCTAAATACAGGTTTGATCAGGAGGACGCATGGCAATCTGTGTCACTCCATAGACAAATGAGAGCGGTTCCGGCTCCCAAAGTGTTTATGGACTATGTGTGTGAAATTACCATTTTGAAATTTGCTGGCGCTTTCATTATTTTTTTCCCCAATACAGGATTTTGGTTTGTGTAGAAAATCCATCCAACCTCAAAAGATAAGTATTCCAATCAGTCTGTAAAACAGAAGTTGGGAACCTTTGGGCCCCGTTGGGTGTTTTGGACTTTTTACGCTCTGAAGCATCAGCCAGAGTGGCTAACAATAAGAGTAGACCTTTGGTCTAGATGGGCAGGATAGAAATCCAGTAAAGAAAAAAAGAAAGAAAGAATTATGGGAGATATACTGTACTCCAAAACCTGGGGAAAGGCCAAAGGCTTCCTGCCCTGCCTATAGAAAAAACAATCTGTAATAAAGAGAACAGTTTAGTGCGTGAGCCATATTATGATCATGTGTTGTCCAGAGGGGAGGTAATGTGAAGCTGGCTAAGAAGTTGCAAGTGGCATATGGATAAGGAACCTTGGTTGTCGCAGTGCACCTGCCCACACTCTCTGATTGTGCCTGTGGCTGCAGCTACAGACTGCATTGATCTTCGTGTTCTGTTCTGGGGGGTTCCAAAACAAGAAAATCAGGAATGGTGAGTGAATGTCTCTGACAGGCAGCCTCCTTCTGGGCCCATGTAATGAGCACAAAGCTGCAAGAAACCATTGAGCGTTCTAGGTCACCACCATCTCTGCTGGAAGCTGAAGAAGTCTGCATGTTCTTTTACATAACTGACCTCTCACCTTCACCAACGTAAACCACTTCAGACTGCAAAGGAGAGTGCTTTCTTTATGAAGATTCCATCCATGAAAGAAAAACTTCTGCCTTTAAGAAAGCTAAAATGTCATGGAAATGGTAATGGCTGTGCAATGTTTCTATGTTTCAGTTATGTATCCTGATGAGTGTTCTTGTGGTTGTCTTGTTGTGGAGGAGTATTCAGTTATTGCAGGGGTGGGGAACCTTTGGCCTTCCAGCTGTTTGGGACAACAACTCTCTATATGTTGGCATACTGGGATAGGTTGGAATAATTAATGAGAGGTGCAAACTGCTACATTGCAGGGTCCTGCATCACTGAATTATCAGATCCCTTCAAGCTGCTCTCTGAAGCCGCACAGCAGAGATATAACATTGCTACCATGGTTACACTTAGATTCCAGTAAATGTAGGAAATGGTGCACCACAGGTCTTTGCGATATGGAGGTTTCCTCAGGAAACAAGATGGGGTACAAAGTTAGGATGCTTGAAAGCTGCTGCTTGTAAAGAGAATTGTTTGATCAAGAGGGAGATATTATGTATGAAAGTGCCCATCCCTCACGGCCCTCATAGATGAATTAGATGACCCTGGAGAATGAATGCAACATTTCATGTGACAGCCTGTGATTTTTTTTAAACACATGATACTAATTTCTATGACCTCAGAGGGGTTTTCATCTATTTCTTTGGTTTCTTAAGACGGTTTCAGCATTTGTTCTGAAATGTGTGCTCTAGAAAAGAAGTAAATCTCCATAGAATAAGAATGAGACAAACTTACCTTCTCCTTGCAACTAGTCCACAGAGTTCTGGCAATCTCTTTTAGTACAGCAGCTCGTTTGAATAAGGGCTGCCGGGATCAAACATAACACAACCTACAGTGTCATTTATTTCAGTGAAGGAAGAAAAGACATCATTCTGAAAGAAAGAAAGAAAAAGAGGAAAGTCCAAGGCAATCACGTGCCTCTGAG